CACTGTTTACAATAGCAAAGACCTGGAACCAACCCAAATGCCCATTGACGATAGACTGGATAGGGAAAATGTGGCACATATACACCATGGAATATTATGCAGCCATCAAAAACGATGAGTTTGGGTCCTTTGTAGGGACATGGATGAACCTGGAAACCATCATTCTCAGCAAAATGACAGAAGAGCAGAAGATCAGACACCGCATGTTCTCACTCATAGGCGGGTGTTGAACAATGAGAACACATGGACACAGGGAGGGGAGCACTACACACTGGGGTCAGTTGGGGGGAAATAGGGGAAGGACGGTGCGGGGTGGGAAGCTGAGGAGAGATAGCAAGGGGAGAAATGCCAGATGTAGGTGATGGGGAGGAAGGCAGCAAATCACACTGCCACGTGTGTTCCTATGCAACAATTTTGCATGTTCTTCACATGTACCCCAAAACCTAAAATGCAATAAAATAAATGGGGAAAAAAAAAAAAAACTTAGAAGTCCTGCGTGCCACTTCCACAAGCCACACAGTCACACCTAAGTTCAACAAGGCAGAGATGTATAATCCTCCCACAGGGAAGAGCGCTGAGAGGGAGAAGCACAAACCTGTTTTGTGAAAAACAATACAATATACCACTATGTATCATTGGATTCAGTTCACTGATATTTTATTTCGAATTTTTGCATCAACTTTCATAAGGGAGCCAGGTCTACAGTTTCTCATCTCATAAAAATAATTTGGAAGTGAAAAATTACTTTGTCATTAAGACTGTAAGGTGACTGACGTGGTAGCTAAACTTAAGTGTTACGGGTGTGTGGTAGGGGGTCTAATTTCTGCCTTGACGGCATTTTAAAATAAAAGACTTTTAATATATGCATGTGATCTGATTAAAATGTTTCCTTAAAAAAAATCATTTTGGGGCCGGGCGTGGTGGCTCATGCCTGTAATCCCAGCACTTTGGAAGGCCAAGGCAGGCGGATCACGAGGTCAAGAGATCAAGACTGTCCTGGCCAACACTGTGAAACCCCGTCTCTACTAAAAATACAAAAAAATTAGCCGGGCGTGGTGGCACGCGCCTGTGGTCCAAGCTACTTGAAAGGCGGAATAGCTTGAACCCAGGAGGCAGAGGTTGCAGTGAGCCGAGATTGCGCCACTGCACTCCAGCCTGGTGACAGAGCAAGACTCCGTCTCAAAAAAAAAAAATCATTTTGGAAATTTCCTCTAAGGAAAAAAAAAATTGGAATATAATTTAGGAATTAAAAGTACTCTCTCCTGCAAAGTCAAATTTCACTTCTGCACCCAACCTGTGTCTTAGAGGCATGTTTTTAATATTTTCATTTCCTACTTTTCTGCCCTGGATTATAAAAGGGGTGCAGTTTTTCTGTACTCATTCCTGACAATGCTTTCAACTGAGCGACTCTGCCAAAAAAGATGCCTGAACCAGGAGTGCATTACTAAGGAGCCAAGAATCTTCTAGTGGGTGGGAGGTTTTCCTATCACCCTCCAATCTCTTTCTTGACACCCCACCCCTGTCATCCAGCCTCCTGTGTAAACATTTTTTGCCCAAGCATCCCAATGAGCGGTATAAACATTGTCTCACCTGTAAGGCAAGTGATTGGTAAATATTTATTCATATTTTTCAGAGGAACAAACTGAAAATGCCAGAGTCAAGTGACCTAAGGCGACTTCCAAAGCTGCTGGCTTTCAGAAAACCCTTCAGGGGCCGGGCGCAGTGGCTCACGCCTGTAATCCCAGCACTTTGGGAGGCCGAGGCGGGTGGATCACGAGGTCAAGACATCGAGACCATCCTGGTCAACATGGTGAAACCCCGTCTCTACTAAAAATACAAAAATTAGCTGGGCATGGTGGCACGTGCCTGTAATCCCAGCTACTCAGGAGGCTGAGGCAGGAGAATTGCCTGAACCCAGGAGGCGGAGGTTGCGGTGAGCCGAGATCGTGCCATTGCACTCCAGCCTGGGTAACAAGAGCGAAACTCCGCCTCAAAAAAAAAAAAAACCCTTCAGAGCTACCTCTTCTTGAGCATTTCCCTGGCCTTGCTGGTGGCCAGAGGACAGAAGCAACTATTGTTAAATTCTGGCTGTTTTGTATTTACGTAATTTCAGTTTCATTGTTGCTGTATACAAAGTTCACCAAAACTCAGAGTAATAAAACTTTATCAGGTATTACCAAGTCCTTGGGTTGGTGAACAGGGAATGCTTGCAAGCAAGAGGAGGCTAATTCTAGGAGAACTGAACAAAGACGGTAAAGTCTGTGACTTACCTGAAAGTCATACTGGTCTTGTCAGTACACATTCAGGACAATCTCTGAAACCTTCATTAACAGCAGAATCACATGTTTACCCCACAATCTTTGACAGCCACAAATTGTATGCAACATATCCACACTGGCATTCACACACTATGGCCAATCTACCTTTCCACGCCTCTCTTTTACTTTACCCTATGCTCACCTACATGTTGTCCAAACTGGGTCTCTTATTTCTGGGGCACAGCTCCCATCTGCCCGCTCTGGGGCCTTTCTTCATGTTGTGCTTTTCAGTTGCAGGGCACTCTCCATCATATCTGCTTATCAAAATCTTGGACTTTAAGGTCCACAAGGACACTACTGCCTCCAGCTAGCCTCTTAAATTTCTCCTAACTGTTATCTCTCTTTTCTACATCATTTTTAGCAACACAGCTTGAAATTCTTTTGGCACAGTATTATAATACTCTCCACGGCCCCTGCTCATCCACCCAGCATACTGGCTGGCAAGGAACTTGTGGGTGGAGGCCCTGCAGCCTCTTCTATAGCAAAGCACATGGGAGTCACTCTACCATTTGTTGGCAGTGATCCTTCTCCTGCAGTCTTTACAGATCTACAGTTCGTATAATTCTAGGAAAGCCCTTTCTCCGGTCTCCAGGCTATACTGTCTCTTCATGGGATGTACTGGGGGCCCTTCCTTAAAAAGTCACCTTTTCTTCTGATGCATTATCCAAGACATCATTAAGGTAGTTAGTGACTCAATGGCTGAGTCACAGTGATTACTGGATATAAAGGAAGTAGTAGGCTGCAAGAGTACATCATCGCTATCTTCAAAGAACAGGAAAGACAGTGTCTACTGCAAGGACCAGGTTCCAGCCTGTTCAGAATCACCCATGAAGGCATTAAGTGCACATATGGAAGTAAATGTGAACAGAAAAAAATACCCAAGAGAGTGACTTTCAAATAGAAATCAAGGAGCTTTTCATTACATAATACTATTTCCTATCAGGTGGCTTAGAAAAAGCTTCTTAATTGGGGCCGGGCGCGGTGGCTCACGTCTGTAATCCCAGCACTTTGGGAGGCCGAGGCGGGTGGATCACGAGGTCAAGAGATCGAGACCATCCTGGTCAACATGGTGAAACCCCGTCTCTACTAAAAATACAAAAAATTAGCTGGGCATGGTGGTGCGTGCCTGTAATCCCAGCTACTCAGGAGGCTGAGGCAGGAGAATTGCCTGAACCCAGGAGGCGGAGGTTGCAGTGAGCCGAGATCACCCCATTGCACTGCAGCCTGGGAAACAAGAGTGAAACTCCGTCTAAAAAAAAAAAAAAAAGAAAGAAAAAAAAAAAAAGAAAAAGCTTCTTAATTCAAACTCTACACTTGTTTTTACTTTACAACCAATGGCCAACCTAAGCCCTGGTTTTCTACAGTTTGGCCATAGCAAACAACCAAAAAAAATTCGAGCACTAAAATGAAGTAAAAGTTGTTACAGAGCAGAAAGCAACACAAATTCGCAACACAAATTCACCACACATACAGTAGGACAGTGTGTAACTTAAAAAGCACAAAACTGTACAGTACTCTGCCATTTATTTTAAAAGATTGTAGAGATTGGAATATTTATCTAAACCCACTGACAAAAGTGCTCTCAGGGAGAGACTTTTCACTGTATAATCTACTCAAAGAACGCACAAATATGTTTTTAGAGAAACAACTCCAGAGATAACTTGTAAAAACTGAAGACCTCATGCTCTACCAATATATTTAAGCTCTTTTTTTTCTGAAAGGCTTCTCTTCAATGAATATTAAGAATGTAGGAAGAGAGCTCATGGCTGTCCTTCATTGTAGGCAACCAACTACAATTACATTAAGCCTGCTAATACTAAGAGTTAAATTGACCTTTCAAAGCACAGATACTAGATTTCTGTTTTTGTAGGCTCTGCTGCACAGAAGAACGTTCTTTTGCTTTATAGTATGTTTCCTTATAAGACTAATAAAACCTAAGGATACGATTCTCTAACTTGTGGTTATGTTGTGTGGAAAGCAGAAGGTTATGAATATACTAACTAGCTATTTATTTATTCATTCATTCATTCATTCATTCAGATGGAGTTTCACTTTTATTGCCCAGCCTGGAATGCAATGATGCAATCTTGGCTCTCTAAAGCCTCTGCCTCCTGGATTCAAGCGATTCTCTGCCTCAGCCTCCCAAGTTGCTGGCATTACTGACATCCACCACCATCCCTGGCTGATTTATTGGTATTTTTAGCAGAGATGGGTTTCACCATTTTGTCCAGGATGGTCTCAAACTCCTGACCTCAGATGATCCACTCGCCTCAGCCTCCCAAAGAGCTGGGATTACAGGCGTGAGCCACCGCGCCCAGCCAGAACCTGTCTAACTTTCCTACATTAACTGTACACATACACATACAAATTTTCTAAGCTTTCAAAATGTTTGGAATAAATGCAATTATTTTGCAAATCTTCAACTGGGCAGATGGTTAGTGTCTGAAATAGAAATAAATATAAACAAAGCAAACAAAATATTCCAAAGTGATGGAGAATGTCCACAAGCTACTTAACAACATGAATTCACGGTAAAGTGAAAAACAAAAGCGGTCTTCCTCAGCATTCTCATGTCAATATTTAGAAAAAAATTCCTTCAGTACTACTAAGCCTCAGGCTTTGTACTGAGGAACTGAAAATTCCAGGGAAAGAAGAAGATAAAGGAAAGAAATGAGAACTAGCAAAGGTCAACAAACATTTTATTAATTTTGATTCCTTTTTTATACAAAGCACTTTCAAATAAATCATCTTAAATTTCTAAGAGTTTCTTTCTGATTCAGTTTAAAAACGACAAATAGCATTTGTTGTGCCCAAGTTAGATTTATACCAAAATTACCACATGATGGCACATACAGTCATCCTACTGGTGGCTGGAAAACTGGCTTGCAGGAGTATCTGTCACTCAGATGGGCCACCATGCCAGTGGGCACATGGTAGAGATGAGGGAAGGCTGGACTAGAAGCAACCTGGGTCTTTTGGGTCGTCTCTACTCCTTTTTCACGTCATCACCATTTTCTCCACTGAGATTGAACACGGAAATCTGCTGACCATCCTTGAGCTCTAAGAAGACCTCATTAAGGTGCCACCTTAGAGAAACCAAAAGTACAGTCTCTCTAATCCATGAGCGCTGAGGCAACAGCCATAGTCAAAAAAAAAGGGGGTAGGAAAGCAGTTGTTTTGAATAATGCCTTAAATTTTTTTAAACATGATTTTGTTTGAGTGCTATGTCAACATCATGTTTCAACATTTCACCGGCTCTCATTATTTAACCAGCTTCGACTTCCAAGGCAGGCTTAAAAATGACTGACAGGCAAATGGAAGGGACATCAGGAAGGAGAAGGAGCAGTTTATTTATCATTTCCTAATTCACAGTTCCTGGCCTGGAATCCAGCCAGCTCATGCACTAATCCCAGGCTCAGAGGTCATTGAGCCCAGGGTGAGCTAGGTGGGGCTGCCTGCTCCTTTTGTCCTTGGGAATTAAAACACAGTCTGGCTAAACAGCAACCATCTCTGAGAGAGGCTTCCAGTGGGGGAAGTGAGTGGATGTAGCTATTGGCAACCAGAAAAGCAAAGCCAATTAAGGGGTGGAGAGCTTATGCAAGAATGTGATGAATAAATTCGGGAACAAGAGTCCATGCCCTTTATTCATTTGTAACAATTGAGGCAGTCAAGTGAGAAGTTGTAACATAGCATCAAATTATGATAGAGCTAGATCACTATAACTGTAAAGTTTTACAAATTCAACAGCATAAGGAGAGGGCAATTCAGTAGACTGTACGGATAAACTGGACCCAGCTAAGAGCCACAGTACTGGCTTGCTGCCCAGGCCACAAAACTTTCAGCTTCAAGCTTGAAAACTAATTCTTCCTATGCCCACAGCCATTTAACACGAAATAAAAATGGAGTCAGGCTTGCTTCTATTAGGAAGTCCTCCTCCCACTCCCCCATTGCTGTCACCTTCCCAGGATACCTGTGAAAGGGGCCACTTCTGGTTGAGTGGACGTGGAGATGACCCTCTGACTTGGATCCAGAGACAGGAATCTTCAACTGTGGGTGTAAAATGACAGAAAGGAGAGATGTAATTGGATGCACTGTCATTTCAGAGATGACAAAATGATGCTTTCTAGAGCTAAGCCTATAAAACCCAGTGATTCTCCACAGAAGCAAGTGGTTTTCTAACAGCCCAGCTGGAGAATCCACTTGATTTTCCAAATGTCCTGGCCCTCTTTGGATGGCTGGTGAGGTCAACGGCAGCCCTTCCATTTGGCAAGGGGCACTTCCATGACAGTGCTCTGGGTACTTCCAATGACAGCTCAAAAGTCCGCTGTTAAAAAGAGCAAACTTCTGATACACGCAGCAACACGGATGAATATCAAAAACATGCTGAGTGAAAGGGCCCTACACAGGAGGAGTATATAACTATTTGTGTTAAATTCTAGTACAGGCTAACCTATGCTGGGGAAAAAAAAAGAAAAATGACTGCCTCTGGTAGAGCTGAAAGATGTGAGAAGGGACCCACTGGGTGGGGCACAAGGGAACTCAGGTGCTGGGAACAGTCTACATCTAGATAACGGCTTGAGTGACACAATTGGGTGTATCTGTTAAAACTCATCAGATAGGACACTTGGATTTGTGCCTTTCAAGAATGTAAATTTTACCAAAAAACAAAAATAGGAATCATGTATTTGGAGACGAAATGTATAATGTCTGAAAATTACTTTGTAATCCATCAAAATAACAGATTCATGGAAACAGGGCAAAATCCCAATTGTAGAATCCAGGTACCAGCTATAGGTGATCACAGTATAAATTCTTTTATCTTTTTTGAATGTGTGAAATTTTTCATAATTTAAAAAAAAAAAAAAGAATTCACTGTTTTAAATGGGGACCTATTGCCAGCAAATTGGTACATATTTTGACCTGGACCCTAAAGAACAGGCTTTAAAGAAAATGTAACACATGAAGGCTTGTTTGGGAAAGACATCACAGAGTTCTCAGTTTCTCCTTCATCCCCAGTACCATAGGCTGGGCTCGCACCACAAGGATGCTGCCAGGTGCTGCCATGCCCATGCATGACCGGGGAGTCAGCCTGAGAGCCTCAAAGCCAGCCCCTAAGCAGTTGTTTGATTACATTTGATTTAGAAAAAAAAATGGTGAATGCAATGTTTTTGGTATCTCATGAAAACCAAAGGTAAGAGCCTCACAAAGGGGACACAGGCACAGTAACAAGAAAGCCCATCATAAGACAGGCACCTCCCAGAGTGCCTTCCTGTGCCCCTGGAGATGGCCAAAGATACCTCTTGGGGTGGGAGCAAGGGCAGCGGCAGGAAGGGAGTATCCCACCCATTCCAAATTGCCACCAAGAGAAGAAACTTGAGGTACACATCTGTGCTTTCCAAAATTCTTTCTTTAAACACACTTGAAGGAAGGGACAGGATTTGGGACATGGCTCCACAACTCAGGTGAATAAGCAGTCACCTAATCATACTTCAAGAACAAATCTTTGGCCGGGCATGGTGGCTTATGCCTGTAATCCTAGCACTTTGGGAGGCTGAGGCGGGCAGATCACTTGAGGCCAGCATTCAAGACCAACCTGGGCAACATGGCGAAACCCCATCTCTACTAGAAATACGAAAAGCCAGGCATGGTGGTGCACACCTATCGTCCCAGCTACTCAGGAGGCTGAGGTAGGAGAATCGCTTGAACCCAGGAGGTGGAGGCTGCAGTGTGCCAAGATCACGCCACTGCACCCTAGCCTGGGCAACAGAACAAGACTCCATCTCAAAAAAAAAAAGAACAAATCTTCAGGGTCCTACTGTTAGAGTCAAGCTACAACTTTTCTCTGGAGATGATAGAATTAAGCAACAGAGTATACACTGACCATCTCTGGATACTTTGGGGAAGAGAGAGAGAGAGAGAAAGGAAAGAAAAGAAAAGGGCAGAAACAAGAAGGATTCTGAAGACCAGCAAACTCTGAGAGGCCAATGTCTGAACTATGGGCAGCTGCACTTGCGTCGGTAGATGTAACACTTCACAGTTTGGTTCCTTCACCAACCAGACCTTGCCAAAGATTAAAGCAGAAGTCCTGGTAAAGCAAAGTGTTGGTCATTGTTGACTATCTCACACACATACTTGGGAAAATATCCCAATGTACAACAATCATTCATGAACAACTGAAACATCTCACCTCTGGAAAAACCGTAAGAACTACAAATAGAGGACTTTGAGATACGAGGGCACATGCTGCATACAGGCATCCTTATAAACAGTTGATTATAAAGAAAGTAGATGAAGAACCCTGACAGAATGTCAAAAATAGTCCACAAATTGGAAGACAAGCGCTGAGGCTCCAGATGGCTCTGAAGCAACAGACTCTGAACTCCTGTCACTACAGAGTCACAGCATTTGGCAGCAGTAGAGGCCAGAACCTAGCACCACAGCCAACACAGTCACAGCACGGTCAAGGGCCCGGGGATGTGGCCCGGGGAAGCCCAGGAAGGCGCCCTCTCAGCACCACCAGGCCAAAGTGAAGGCTGGACAGAACAAAACTCCCACGAACACCAGCAGGACCTCACCCTACTCTTACTGGGGTTCCTGAGCACAAGATCGTGAAACTGATGCTGCTCTCAGCCCCAGCAAAGGCGCCTTTGGCGTGTACTTCCTCAGTGCAGCAGCTGGGCCCTGTGCTGAGAGAAATGCAACAGCCAGACCTACCCGCTGGCTTCCCACGTTCTCAGCATTGCTAGGGTCTAGCCAACTGACCAAAGACGGGGAAGCACACAGGAGCTCTGCCACACCATGGGAGAAATCCAGTGGCCTGGCACAGAGTTAGCACTCTACACATGCCCAGCCCTTCCCTGTGCTCCTCCTGGGTGTCCTGTCTCACGCAGTGTCGCTGCCGTCCTTCCACTCACACCCATGCAGGACACTGGGGCCTCACCTCTGACCCACCCACTCCTGACACATGACTGTTACCAAGTCTGCCACAATGGACTTCACATCCATCTCTCGCTTCTCCAGGCCACACCTCTAGTTCATGCTCTTACACTGCACACCAGTGCGGCCATGCCTCTCTCCCAAAGGTGGCTCCCTGTACCCAGTCCCTGGGCATTGCCAATCTACACAAATTCGCCTTCTTTTAAAAGCGAGTATTTTAATCAGAATACCAGAGCACAAATTGCTTTTGTAGCTAAAAAAAAAAAGTCTCATTAGAGCTATGTCCATTAAGAAAATAATAAAAATAACAAAAAATAAGGTCAGATAACCTCACTCTTACCCTCCAAATACTTCATGGGCTTCTGCTGCCAGAGTCAAGCACACACACCTTCTAAGATGCTACTGTGGCTCTCTGGTGGCCACAGTCCCTCCTACCTGCCCACACCTACCTTGCCCACCTGTGCCTCCACTGCAAGGTCACACTGACAGGGTGTTCCTCTCCACCATTCAAAGTCCTCACAGCCACCTCCCAGGCCTCAAGCCACTCCCCTCTAGGCCTGCACAACAGTGACAGGGTTTGCCTCACCCTGTCTTACTCAGGAATCTTCAACTGTAAACCCCCAAAAGCCTTCTGTACCTCTATTCCCCACATAGCTTAGAATCATTCTTCAAACCAGGGCATATACTGAAAACATGCTTGTTCAACAGCAGAACAAATGTGTTTTACAGGTAAGCGAGTGTGATCAAGTACAAAACTATATGGCTCAAAAAATGGGCTGGTATTCTGTGAAAGCAATGTAAATAAATTCACTTTAAAAATCAAAGTTTAAAGAGTTGGTTACATTTGAATGAACACTGACTAGATACAGATGAATTTGTCTTTTGTGTTTTTATTTTAGAGACAGGGTTTCACTCTGTCCCCCAGGCTGGAGTACAGTGATGTGAATCATAGCTCATTGCAGCCTCCAACTCCTGGATTCAAGTGATCCTCCTGCTTCAGCCTCCTGCTGGGATTACAGGTGTGCACCACCATGCCTGGCTAAATGACTGATTGATTGATTGATTGATTGATAGACAGATAGACAGATAGATAGATAGGCAGACAGACAGGTAGATTAGACTGGATGGATAGATGGACAGATAAAGATGGGTCTTGATAGGTAGATAGATATAGATAGACAGACAGGTAGATAGATAGATAGATAGATAGATAGATAGATAGATAGATAGATAGAGGGTCTTGCTGTATCATATAGGCTGGTCTCAAACTCTTGGGCTCAAGCAATCCTCCTACCTTGGCCTCCCAAAGTGCTGAGTGCTATCAAAGCCAACATGGTAGCAAACCACCACTGGTCATTTCTCTACTATCTTCAGTTCAAGATGGTGACTTCAGCACACCCACTGCATTCCCTGCCACATCAATTCCCCAAAATGGAAGAAATGTATATAGGAATAATCTATATATAAACTATATTTTATGTTGTTAAACATTAAAATACATAATAAAAAAGCTTTTTTTAAAGGTGCTAAACCCAGCTTTACTTAGTAGATTTTCCCATCCCAAATCCTTAACTCCAGCTTCCTCCAAGACTTTCCAGGAGATAATACACTCTCCTCTCCTTCAGCAGGCACCAGCCTCCAGGTCGCAGGGAGAGCACCTTACCTTGGCATCAGCAATGTCCACAAAGTTGTCCTTGCCAGTGAGCTTGAGATAGTGGATGTTGACAGGCGGGCCCAGAGCTTTCTGTGCCTCGGGATGGTTCTGCAGCTGCTCCAATGCCAACTTGTAATATAAACCCCTGGAATAAGTCTCTAAGGATGAAATATACACTTTATTTTCCTTATTGAACTTGGTCAGGTAGAATCTACTAGACAGAAAATTAAATAATACAATTGATATAGGGGGTGGAACCTGAAACATGAAATTTGTGGATGGACAAATAATTAGAACCATCTTCTCTAAACTGTCCATTTTACAGACTCAAAAACCAAAGGACAGGCAGGCAGTGTCTGCAGGGATGTGCAGATGATCTTGGGCCTTGACCTCATACAGACCCTTTCTGTGCCTCAATACCTTCATCTTTCTTCCCTCATTCATTGCCTTATTTCTACATCTAAGGGGTTTGTCAGCTCTTCTCTAAGTTTCCTCTCAAGTCGAAAGTCCTTTGATTCCATGATTTGCTCAAAGTGATGCCGCTGGTTCACAGCAAAGCTGAGGCCAGAATCCATAACACCTGACTTCTAAACATTGCCCCTTCCACTAAGTTGAGACAAAATAGAAAGACTACGCCATTAACAACAACAAAACCCTCAGGCCAAGAAACAGGATATGAGAATGTTCATTCATCGAGATTTAAGCCAACATTTCAAGTCAAACTCCTCTCAGTCTCAGGAATCCTTCTGAGCCCAAAGGCTACATGGGAACTCCAGGCAGCACATCCCTGAAGCTGTAAGTTCTAATAATCAGCTGCCCAAGTGAGAGAGCAGAGGCAGAACTTCTCAAGCAGGGTGTTCAGTTTTGCAAAAGAAAGTGCTTCCCTTCCATAGGTCCCATCACACTGATGAAGGGGAGGGTGACCTGACCCTGAGAGGCCAAGGGAATGCCCCTCCTGCACTGCTTCCCAGGAGTAAGGGGTACAGGGAATACCATAGTCATGAACAAGGTGCCAGCCATAATAGGAAAAGAAGCGGCAGAAGCTGGGTCCAGACAGCTATTCTTTGTTGAGTGATTTCTATGGCTAGGCACTGTTCTCAATGTTTCACACATCTCACAATGCTCAATAGCTCTCATCTTGTGAGATTCAATTCTTACTTCATGCACAGGCACTAACATTACCACGCATCACATCAATAACGTAACTAACACCCAGAAAGGTGACAGACTCACATAAGGCTACATAGCTGGTCAAGAGCTGGAGCCAAGATTCAACCATTTAACCCAGGCAGTCGGCTGCAGTGTCCAGGTCTCACCCACTTAGCAGCCTCCTAAGGGAAAAAGGCTGAAACCTGACCCAAAAACGCACCCATTCCTCTCATGTCTTGCCCCTGTCCCTTTGGCAGAGGAAGAGGAGGCCAAATTATTTAGTCTGAATCATCCCTGGGAATGCTCATCTGAGGCCCCCTCCAGAGTCAGCAAATCCACCAACTCTGCAGGAAGGTGCAGAATGGCTGGAGAGGACACTGCAGCCTGTTTGCTTGTCTCCTGGTGACACTCGCATCCTGGGAAGAAGTGAAAATGTTGCCCAGTGGATAAGGAGCTAAGCTGGGTAGAGATAAAGGAGCCTCAAAAAAGTCAGTCTAGAAAAAACTGCTGCTGCTTTGCCACCAGTAGCATTAAAATGACCTTAAATGTCCTGGCTGCTGACAGTAATTGTGGCCTATCTTTACAAATTCAAATTTGACTGCAGTGGGGCTGGAAGCTACATCTGTCAGGATTTTGCCAGTGTGGGCTCTGCTTTTATTTCCTGCCCCTGCCAGAGTTCCCTTGCTCATGGTCCCTCCTTCATTAAATCAACAACAGAGAATGAAGTGCAAAAAAAGGCTGACAACACCGGACACATAGCCACAGCTTTCCCCACCTGCGAACCATCTGGTATTCCCCTTCCCTCTGTCCTTTCTTTATATAATCTCAGAATCTTGACTGGAGCCCCTGTGTGTGCACTGAGCTGAAAGCCCATCGTGCTCTACTAGGCTTCTTATGCAAATGAGTCCTGGTCCTTTTATTTGTACTGGTTGCTCCCAGGAAAAACTGAGATTGCAGGATACAGAGGAAGTTATAGCCAACGAAATGGTGGACTAGCCTTTAAAATCACCCTCTCATCCTTTCTCTAATCTACTGCAAGCATCTCAAGTATTTCCTCTGATGGAGGAGTAGGAGCACGAATGCTGGAGGAGGTCAGGCTGCAGGCGCCTAGCAGGATACTTACTTTGTATGATGAAATACGAAAGGGAAATGCTCCCGGTAAACAGCACACTGCCGTAAATGATCATTTTTGCCGGAGACATTGACATCCTGCTTCACGGATGCTTAAAAACAAAAGATAAAAATTTACTGTAGGATTCCCAGTTTTGTGCCAAGGGGGTTTGCCTGGCTTGGGCCCCTCAAGGAAAGGAACATTAAGGAAACCAGCAAGGAGGCCAGGCTGCCCTCCTTCATTTGCTTCCTTTCCAAATGCCAGGATTGGTTCTGGAGCCAAATCGAGTGCCCTCCTGGGGGTGCCCTCTTGAGAATGGCCCATGTCCAGGACCCATGCTGTGGGGGCCCTGCCACCCCCAGCCGGCCCCAGCACAGAGCGAGCATTCAGCCCACCATCCTGACAGACAGAGCCCAGACTGTGTGCCAAGCCCCGCGTGGCCAGGAAGCACAACCACTTTGTCTCAGGCCAACTGGTAAACAGGAAGCTTATCTTTTGTGGCAATAGCTGGTCCTGTAAGCCTGCAAATAGGTTGGAACTGTCACTTGTCACTGGCTCCTTTCTTTCATATTTTAAAAAATGCCCCACCCTCAGGATGAGGAAACTTTGGTTATGACTTTCAGGCTCAATGAACACACAGAGGGGTGCCAGCTCAGCAAATATAGCATACCACATCCACCCTGGCGTTAGCTCCTGTCCCCTGAAGGCCCGGGGGGGACTGGGAGCAGCACGTGGGAGCCAACTCTTCCTTCCTGCTGTCCATTTAACCACTGCTCACAGTGGCCTGGGCCCTTCTGAAAAGTTGTAAAATACCTGACCATAAAACAGTAGGACATGAGCTATAGGAGTAGGGCAGGAAAGAACAGGAGAGGGGTCACAATTCAAATGCCCACAGGGCCAAACATGTCACATAAAAGACAGCAGACACTGAAAGACAAGAACCTAAGGCCCAGCCAAGGAGACAGCTTCAACCTGGCTCCAGCTGACTGCAGCCATGTGGCCCCAGACTCACTGGATCTTTCCATTTATCAAGAGGGGCCAGAAATCTGATTTTTTATGTGAAATTGCCTGGATTCTAAATGTTGACAATCAATTTTTAAAAACTGCTAACAAAATACATTTGTGAATCAAATTATTTCTGTGGGTTTTCAGTTTGCTTTGACCATCAGGGCATCCCCACCCTAAGTGAGATGTAGGTAAATTCCTCTCTGTCTTTGCTGACATTTCTCCAAAAAGAATAGAGATTTTAGGCAGACATGGAAATTCCAGTCTTAGATAAAGGAAAAAACGTCATGTTTGTGTCCCTACTTAAAAATTTAACCTTCGATTTTAATTATGTTCCTTTCACAAAACAAAGCCTCTGATGTGTCCTAATAGGGTCAGAGGTATAATGCAGTGCAGAAAAGTTAGGTATAATGTGAGTTCCTTTGCTGGCTGGAACACATTCTCACCACCTGCTTCTCCACCTTCCAGAACACAGAGTATTAACAATTGTCCACCCATCCTTTCTGAAGCCCTGAATGTAAATGAACCCATAGAAACCCTGTTGGAGAAAGTTCCTCAGGTAGATATTCTGAGAACCAATAACTAAACATACCCTTGAATCAGGCTACAGCTGACCAGTTCTATACTAAAATATTTAATCCAGGTTTATGTATATAAAGGGCTTTGATAAACTTAACAAATGAAGGAGGGTGACATTTTAGATCATCTTTCTATTGTTTATTTATATGTTGTTTTGTTCAACTAAGAAAAGGCTGTTGAAACCACAAACAAATGTACAGCAACTGCTATGAAGACTCTAGCTAGTACCCTATAATAAGTAAGTATCAAAATGAGTGTAAAGTCAATTACAGTAATGTGATCTGGAAAAGCCATTTAGTTCTCATAATGAAAACGGTCCGAGCATCTCTGAAGAATGTATTAGTCAGATCTTGCTTAATTTGAAAAGAGCTCAACAGGGTAAGGCAGCCAGACTGGGTTATGCAGAGGTTCCCAGAGTGTTACAGTTTCTAAGGCCAGCATGAGACATGAGAAAGAGCCGGAAACAACGTAGAAAATGTCCATCCCATCCCTCCTGTAAGTTAAAGCCACAAGTGAACCTTAAAGACCAGAAGAAACCGTAACTACTCAGGGAGTGACTTTCTTCTATTGTCTAACCAGAGAATACCCTGGCAGGTTCTAATGAGGAGCTTGGCCCTGGAACATTCCATTACCTTTGGCCACATCACAGCGCAGCTCTCTTGAAAATCATCAAAGGCCAGTTGTCTTGCAATCAGAAAAGATTTTACATTAAAATCATTTAAAAAATTTTTAAACCCCAGTTCTCTCTAGTTGCATACAGCCAAGATTTATTACCAATTCCAGCTTTAGAATATGAACAAGAAGTTAAATTTAAACTCTAAAACAAGATTTGTCTGTGAAAGGCCCTGGTTTTCCACCCCCTCTTCTGCCAAATTAGGAAGAAAAAGCAGGGCCTGCGGGTTTCCCATCTGTGTCCTATGTACTTTTTGTTACAGCAACCAAAGAACCGGTGTGCACAAGGGAGAACCGCAGGCAGCAGGTGCTTTGACCACAACGCAAACATGATGCCAGTCAGCAGGAGGGTGGACCCGCAGAAGCAAGATGCCAGCAATAAAAGCTGAACAGAATAGAGTGAAAACAGCACTTCAGAGTCAAAAAAAAAAATACTACAGTAAATGTATACATGGACTTTAACAATATTGATAATACCTAACACTTCTGATTTTTATTATGAGTCTTGTACTATTCTAAGACACTTTACATAAAATAATTCATTTAATTCTTACAACCCTTTGAAGTAGGAACTATATTATCACTCCCATTTTACAGATGAGTAAATTGAGGCACAGTGGTAGAACTGGGATTCAAACTCTGGCTCCAGCATCTGCTCTTTCAACCACTGTGGTACACTAGCTTTAAGATATCTAATTAAAGCAATATTGAAGCTAAATGAAAAACGATTTTAAGAAAAGAAATAAGGCTGAAATAAAGTTAGAACACAATAGGACACAGTCATTCATTGGGTATTTCCTCAAGGTGCCACGTATCGGCCGCGGCTTCCTATCTGCTCAGCAGACAGGGAAGCCTGAGGAGCTACAAGGTCCAGAGTGTCCATGAACAAAGGCAAACCTGCCACTGAGGAGGAAGACAACAACTGCTGAGAATACACGAAGCCTCAGAAAGCCCTAGGCAAGGCTCGGAAACATTCTCTCAAGAGGCTGGTGTCATAAATATCCTGAGAATTAAAAATAAGATAACAAAAATAAAAAGTTCCCAACTGCCAAATGACTATTTTTAAAAACATCCAACTATGAAAGCTACATTCGTACCCCCACCCCAACCCCCCCAAAAAAACCCAGAAGAATTATTTTTATAAGTGGCCAAAAGAGTGAGGTCTCAGAATGAAATTCTCTGACAACTACCTTGACTCAATGGAGTGCTCAGGCAATGAGGATCAACCAAGTGTCCTCAGAGTCCTTCCACGTCAAAGCAGGGATGGGGGTGCGAGTTGGGGGGCAGGAGATGTGTTCAGGGGTGAGTTGGGGACAACAGGGGCTCCTTTTCAACCCGATTCAGTTTACCTGCCCCTTCAGTTGTCTTTTGAAGAATGTTAAGTAGCTCCCAACCTCACAAAAAAACAAAAATTCAAAAAGGCACTGTAGAGGAATAGAGATGGATTTTAGGCTAACTGCAAGAATGTTACCTCCTAGAACTAGTGTTCCGGTAAGAAGTGAAAATTTTAAAAGTGATGTGCCATTCTCTGCAATAAACTCAAGTTCAATCAGTCCACTACATAGCCAAGTAAGGGCAGATTTATTTGCTTTACAGTTTGCCAAAAGGCAAGGGTTGCATCCCTATTGAAAATCAAGGAACTTAAAAACAAAAACGAAAAAAAAGAAAGAAAATCAAGGAACTTGTTAGCCACAGGAAGGTAGCACAAAACACTGGCCAAGGTCTCTCAGAAAAGCAGTCTTAGCTTTCCTTGGATACACACAAAGGGGTGACTTTGGCCTCTAAAGGCAAATAGTTTATAAACCTTTTCCAAAGTACTAAACCCTTTCTAGAGCCAGAGGACAGTCTGCTAAACAGATGCAACAGCTGCTTGAGCTGGCACAGGCTAGAGGATCCTCCTGTCAGCCTCCCCTCAGCCCTAACCAGAGGAAGCATCACCAAGGGGATCAACAGGAACAGCCAACCAACAGGAGGAGGCAGAATTGATGCTGGAACAGTTCCATGCCTTCACTTTAAGGAGGCCTGGCAGTTTGTACTTTGGCACTCTTGGAAGCCCTAAGCCACTACGTAAGAAGTATGGTTATCCTGCTGGTGGAGTTCTTGCTACCTAAGAAGACCATGTAAGAGGCCACTTGGTGAAGAAGAGGCCAAAGATGGGTGGGAATGAGATGCCCCACTGATCCAATATTCCAGTTGAACCCAGTCACCCCTACCAAGGCATTAGCCATGTGAATGAGCTGTCATGGACATTCTAGTTTAAGTGGGCTACCAGATGACTGCAGTACCAGCTGAACATTCGTGGGGCAAAAGAACCATCAGCTGATCCAAGTCAACCTATAGAATCATGAAAGATAGTAAAATTATTTTAGTTGTAAGCTACTAAATTTGGTTTGTTATGCAGCAACTGAAAATTAAAAGGCCTTTTACAATATCTTCTCAAAGGATTTTTAAAAACCTCTCTCAAATGTATGTTACTTTTAAGAGCAGCAATTTAAAAAGCAAAGAGACTAAAAAATAGAAGACCTGGAATATTCAAACCAACACAAGCAGAATGGAAATATTCGAAGAGCTGGATTTAAGGCAAAAAGTATTTAATTGAGACAAAGATAAACAATATAGTAGTTATGAACATAACATAGTAAACATTATACCAAAATAGATAAAGCCAAAAACTATCACAAATTAAAAAAAAAAGGCAAAGAAAAGAACTACAGAGGGAGAACACAGATCACTTTCCAACTTTAGCAAATCCAGCTAACAAAAAAGCAATCAAGGCTGGGCATGGTGGCTCACCCCTGTAATCCCACCACTTTGGGAGGCTGAGCCAGGAGGACTGTTTGAGCCCAGGAGTTCAAGACCAGCCTGGGCAACACAGCAAGACCCTATCTCAAAAAAATAAAATATAAAATAAAAATAAAGCCATCAAGAACAGAGAATCTGAGTAATGTAGTTTTTTACCTTACAAGGTACAACATGTGTGTATGTGTATCCGTGGAGATATATGTGTAAATACTGAGACCTTCCAGTGCCTAGCAGGTAGCACCCATCCCATAAAGCTTTGTGGGACTGACAAACCATCCTGTTTTCAATGCCCAGTCCTGTGGCTACTTCCTGGAAAGTAAATCTGAACAACTCTTGAGAGGGCAAAGCAAGTACATAGATCAGTAATTATATACAATCAACTTCATCTGAACCACAGCAAAAATTTTTCTCATGCTACTGCAAGTGGCTAACCTTTATCCCTAATTTTTAAAATTACAGTAAAAATTTGAAAGTTAACTTTCAAATTAGAAGATGGAAGAACTCAAATCAGTCTGATGCCATTTTCAATGAGAATAAACTAAACTGAAAATGTTAACAGCTGTTATCTATTCATTCAATCAACAAGTATATGCCAACTGCATCGAAAACCAGGCGCTGTGCTAGGCACTGGAAATGAAGAGAACAAAACAGACAGGCCATTAGTGGACCTTACCCTGTGCTGTAGTGTAAGAAGACAAACAGTAAACAAGTAAGATCACTTTAGTTAGTAGTAAGTATTTTAAAAAACATAAAATAGGGTGCTAAGAGAATCAGAAAACCCACAGACTAGGAGAAACTATTCACTAAAGATATCTGATAAAAGAATTGTTACCCAAAATATGCAAAGAACTTATAAAATTCAACAATAAGAAAACAAACAATTTAACAATGGGCAAAACAACTGAACAAACATCTCACCAAAGATATACAGAAGGCAAATAAGCATATTAAAAGATGCTCAACATCATATGTTTATTAGGAAACTGCAAATTAAAACAACGAGCTACTGCTACACACTTTTTAGAAGGGCTAAAATCCAAAACACTGGCAATACCAAATGCTGGCAAGGATATGGAACAACGGAAACTCTTATTTGTTACAGCTGGGAATACAAAATTGTACAGTCGCTTTGAAAGACAGGTTGGTGGAAGTTTCTTACAAAATTAAACATACTCTTCCACGTGATCTTGCAGTTTTACTCCTTGGTAGTTGCCAAAATGAACTGAAAATGTTTGTCCACAGAAAAACCTGCACACATAGATGTTTACAGCAGCTTCATTCATAATTGTCAAAACTTGGAAGCAATTCAAGATGTTATCAATAAGTGAATGGATAAACTGTGGTAAATCCAGACGACACTATTACTCCACTTTAAAAAGAAATGAGCTATCAAGTCATGAAAAGACATAAAGGGGCTAGGTGTGGTGGCTCATGCCTGTAAACCCAGCACTTTGGGAGGCCAAGGCAAGAGGATCACCTGAGGTAAGGAGTTTGAGATCAGCCTGGCCAACATGGTAAACCCCATCTCCACTAAAAATACAAAAATTAGCCGGGCATGGTGGCGCATGCCTGTAATTTCAACTACTCAGGAGGCTGAGGCAGGAAAATCGCTTGAACCCGGGAGGCGGATGTTGCAGTGAGCTAAAATTATGCCACTGCACTCCAGCCTGGACGACAAGAAAAAAACTCCCTCTCAAAAAAACAAACCAAAAAGAAAAAACATAAAGGAACCTTAAATTACTATTACCAAGTGAAAAAAGTCAATCTGAAAGGCTACATACTGTATTCCAACTATATGACATTCTAGAAAAGGCAAAACTATGGAGGCAGTGAAAAGATAGGTGGTTGATAGAGGTTTTGGGAGAAAGGGGGATAAATAGGTGGAAGACAGACAATTTTTTATCACAGTGAAACTATTACATATGAAACTATAGTGGTAGATACATGTCATTACACAGGTGTCAAAACTCAAAATGTGCAACACAGAGTGAGCCCTAATTTAAACTATTTAGTCTAGTTAAAGATGATGGGTCGGCACTGGTTCATTAATTGTTAACAAATGTCCCACGTTTGTGTCTGATGTTGGTGGGGGAGGCTAGGGACTGGAGAAGGGAGAGGATATGTGTGAATTATCTTACTTTCTGCTCAGTTTTTCTACAAACAAAACTGTTTATTTTAAAAAATAAATATATTTTGGCTGGGTATGGTGGCTCAAGCCTGTCTGGAATCCCAGCACTTTGGGAGGCTGAGGAAGGCAGATCACTTGAGGTCAGGATTTTGAGACCAGCCTGGCCAACATGGCGAAACCCCACCTCTACTAAAAATACAAAAATTAGCCAGGCATGGTGGCGCATGCTTGTAATCCCAGCTACTTAGGAGGCTGAGGCAGGAGAATCACTTGAACCCAAGAGGCAGAGGCTGCAGTGAGCCAAGATCATGCCACTGCACTTCAGCCGGAGTGATAGAGTGACTCCATGTCAAAAAATAAAAATTAAAAAGTAAAATGTATTTTTTTAAAAAATGTTACCACTGAAAAGAAATTAGCTCAAAGATACGATAAAATGTCATCTGAGAATAAATCAAACCTCTTGAAACTAATATATAAACACCTGATAAAATGTGCTAATATTCATATTCATATATTACAAAATCCAAATACTGTGTGAAATCTAATTGTTTTCTCAACTGCACTTTCTTAGGACCAAATAACATAGTAAAGGGTTATTCTCTCTCTGAAATCTACTCTAATTTCACTCCTCCCTCTTGCCAGTGCTCACTATCAAAACCTTGAAATATTCAAGTGGGTAATGTATGTGAAGGCTCTCTCAAAAATAAGCAAACAAATAAAAAGGATGACATGCTAGAATATGAAAGGGGGAAGGCACAATTTTAACTTTGGCAGTGAAGGAAGGCATCTCTGCCAAGGTGACATTTAAGTTGAGACTGAAGGATCATTTGAAAACCAGGGGAAAAGCACGCCAAACACACCAAGGCTCAGAGGCAGCCACAGGCTCTGTATCTTCAGGATGCAGAAGGCAGCCTCATGAAATGAGGTGTGGAAGAGGAGGGCAGGCAAGAGGGCAGGGTGTTCATCAAACAGGTTTTGTAGGTATGGCAGGGAGTCTAGATTTTACTCAAAGTGTAATGAGAAGGTGCTGAGGGTTTCAATCAGGAAGTGACACAGTATGACTTGCTTTTTTGTTTGTTTCAAGATTTCTCTAGAAAGGACAAGAATGGAAGCAGGGAGTCCAATTAAAAGGCTCCATGGCAGAGTTGGTGGTGGCTTGGACTAGCTGGTAGCAGCAGACATGCAAAAAAGTAAATACACTTGAGATATGAAGCAGAATTAACAGGACTTGTTGACCAATTATTAATAGAAATCGGGGAAAAGGTGAAGGACAAGGCGCATAGCAGAGTGATTTCTGAATTTATCAATATTATCCTTAAACTTCCTTACAAAAAACTTGAGCATTCAAAACTACCATGCAGTTGGAATTCAGTAATGATAAAGAGTCTTGGTGGAAAGTTTTAAATAGAAAACTATGATTTCTAAATCATTAGTCATGATGTCTCATCTGCTTGAACAAATGCATTTCAAGGCCATTCTCTCGTAGATGTCAAACCACAGCAAGAAGGTATTCAGTACTTTCTGGCATAAAAACTTCATAGAATGGACTCTGATTCATAACCATTTTGCAAGTGAGTATGACTAGGGCAAACTCTATTAAACATTTACTTCAGCATTCCTATTAAAAGCCTCCATTTCAGATGATGAAAGCATTTATAAAAATAAAACAATTTGGTATCAGTGACTACAAAAGGAATCTGGGAGATTTGCGGTTGCCTTTTCCCTCCCTATAGCCCTCCCTTTTTTCTCACAGACTCAAGTATTTGCCTTCTACCTCTCTGGGCAGTCCTCTCCCCTCCCCTGCCTGTTTTATACAGCCCCTCATTCTATGTTAGGGGCTGAATTGTGTCCTCCCAAAATTCATATGTTGACGCCCTAATCCCCAGGTCCTCAGAACATCACAATAGTTGGAAAAAAGGTCTTTAAAGAGGTAATTAAATAAATATAAGATTTTCAGGGTGCATCTTAATCCAATAAGAAATCTGGACTCAGACATACACACGCACAGAAAAAAGACTATATGAAGACAAAAGGAGAGGGTGGCGTCTACAAGCCAAGGCAAGAGGTCTCAGAAGAAACCAAACCTGACGACACCCTCGTCTTCAACTTTTATCTCCAGACCTGTGAGAAAATAAATTTATGTCATTAAATTTAAACCACCCGGTCTGTGCTATTTTGTTAATGACAGACCTAGCAAATTGATACACTCTGTGTACCCTTTCCTACTCCCTCACCCCAAGAACATCTCATTCAAGGGCCTGAATCTAGGTCCACTAAAGTAATTCCCACCTCTCTATCTCTAGGCCAGGTGTCCCTTCTGCACTTGAAGTTTCTATCACATACTTCCACAAGTCCCGAGGTGAGCTCCTGCCCTGACCCTCCTCCACTCCACACCAGCTCTCCTCTACCTGCATTCCCTCCTTAGTGAGTGGAACCAACCCAGGTACCTAAATCAGATACTTGGGAGTCATTCTCACAAAAACAAAAGTAGCTTCCATATGTTTACTCAACATCCAAGAGCTTTGCATGTATCTTATCAAATCTTCTTAAGGGTCTTATAAAGCAGGAATTATGATCCCTATTTTATAGGTGAAGAAGCTGAGATTTGGATTAATTGTCTAGAGACATTCCTTTAAGTGACAGAGTCAGGATTTGAGCCCAGGTCTGTCTGACTCCAGGGCCTATACTTCTAACCTAAATTACTCCCCAATCTAATCAAGCCCCCTCAAACCCATCAAATCTGTTTCCTAAATATCTTTTGATGTTTTCCACCTCATCTTTATCCTCCAAATGCCCTAATTTGGCCCCTCAGTATCTCAACCAAGGGGTTATCAAGACTGCTCTGCCTTTGGCTTCATTCCTCTCCAGTCTAGAATCCTACTATTACAGAAAATTCATTGTATCCCATTCGTCTATGGCTCCCCATCCTATTCACAATAAAATCTAAGCTTCTTTGCATTACATGGTCTTACTGCCCAGTTTTCTCACCACATTCTTAAATCCCAACCACTCTCCCGAATTACACTGAGCAGATCTGAACTGCTGTTCTCAGAACATGGTAAATGCCACAGGTCCTGGCACTTCCTGTCCATCCTGGCAACCCTAACCACCTTTTAAGTCTCAGCTAAAATGCTAATTTTAGTGTTAGAAAATGTCCTTGGCTTACCAAGGCAAACTTAATTTTTCTTTCACCTATACTTTCACAATAGTTACTTTAGTATGCTATTGGTTGTTAAATTACCTAATTCTCAATAGACATTAAACTTTTTTAAGGCTAGGATTGGGTTTTCCATTTTAGAATGCCTAACATCTAACACAGAAAAAATGTTTACCTCATTAATCTAACAGGGTGTTACTAGATTTGTGGTAGGTAAAGAGTGGGATTCTACTGAGAAACAGACCTTTCCAGAAAGAAAATAGAAATTTCCTAGATCACAACGCAGAGTTTCCATGTAACTTCGATCACTCTTGGAGTGTGGTCCTTGTACTTCTAGAGGACCTTGAGACCCTTTCAGGGAGAACACAAGGTCAAAACCACTTTCACAAAAACACTAATATGTTACTTGTCCTAAAAAGGAAAACTTTACCACCAAATAGATAAGACTTTGCTAATGAGATTAATGATGAAACTAATGAATATGAATTTTTGATAGTTATAATAAAATGTTTTACATTTTAATGATCCACTTAAGTTAGTAAAAATCAGTATTTTTTAAATGACCAAGGCATCGTATTACAAAATCATGCAAGAGAAATTAATTTTAATACAATAGAAAACAAAAGGCTTACTGATCAGGCTTCAGATTACATATGACAATCAACCTTTAAGAAATTACCACTTGCCAAGTTTTGGTGTGGTATCAAAGAAGGTCTACAATTATCTGAAAAGGCTATTAACAGGAAAAAGCTATTAACATGCTTCTCCCTTTTCCAAAAAGCTATTTGAGGACAGATTATTTTCATACATTTCAACCAAAAAAAATACTGTGACAGACTGAATGCAGAAGCAGGTACATCTGTCTTCTATCAAGCCAGACATTAAATAATTTTTAAAATAATGTAAAACAATGTCATTCTCACTAAATCTTAAAACTTTCATAAAGATATACCATTTATGTTAGTGTTACCTGGGTCTATTTTCTCAAAATGAGTAAGTATTTTTTAAGTTCTCAGTTTTAATTTCTAATACAGCAATAGCAATAGATATAACCCACATAAACAACAAAATGTAAAGGGGCCCTGCTACCAAAATATTTGCGAATTGCCTCTTTAAGGGACCAAGAGGCCCAAGCTCTCAAAATTCAGGCCTATCCCAACTGCTTTGTTATTACTATTTTTTGTCATAAATCAAGTGTCATACCAGTAAGGATCTGAAAAAGTCTTGATATAGTTTGGGTATTTGTCCTCCAAAATCTCATGCCGAAATGTAATCCCCAGTGTTGGAGGTTGAGCCTGTTGGGAGGTGACCAGATGACTGGGGTGAATTTCTCATGAATAGGTTGGCACCATCCTCTTGGTGCTGTCGTTACAACAGTGAGTGAGTTTTTGTGAGATCTGGTTGTTTGAAGTATGTGGCACCTCCCCTAGCTCTTTCTCTTGCTCCTGCTCTTGCCATGTGATGTGCCTGGTCCCACTCTACGTTCTGCCATGAGTAAAAGCACCCTGAGGCCTCCCTAGAAGCTGAGCAGATGCCAGCACCACACTTGTACAGCCTGCAGAACCGTAAGCCAATTAAACCTCTTTTCTTTATAAATTACCCAGTCTCAAGCATTCCTTTAGAGCAAAATAAAAACAGCCTAATACAAGTCTATTCTATGACATTGATCTATTTGTCAATCCTTGTGACAATACCACTCCAACTTACTTAGATTTACTGCGATAATTCTGCATTTCAACACAGATTTACTACATCAAAAATTAAAGTCAAAAACTTACAGGCTCAAACCTGTGGTCCCAGCTACTGAGCAGGCTGAGGCAGGGCAGGAGGATCACTTGAGCCCAGGAGTTTGAGACTACAGTGAACCCTGATCATGCCACTGCACTCTAGCCTTTGCAACAGCAAGACCCTGTCTAAAAAAAAAAAAAAAAAAAAAAACCTTAAAAAACCTAAAACTCTATACCAATTGAACATCAGCTCTCCATTTCCCCCTCCCCCCAGCCCCTGGCAACTACCATTTTATTAATACTTTCTATGAATTTGACTACTTTAGATACCTCATTTAAATGGAAGCCTAAAGCCAGGCACAGCGGCCATGCCTGTAATCCTAACACTTTGGGTGGCCAAGGCAGGCAGATCACTTGAGCTCAGGAGTTTGAGACCAGTCTGGGTAATATGGTGAAACCCTGTCTCTACTAAAAAGAGAAAAATGAAGGATTCCTTAAGCCCAGGAGGCAGAGGTTGCAGTGAACAAAGACTGTGCCATTTTACTCCAATGTGGGTGACAGAGTAAGACCCTGTCTAAAAAAATATTTTTTTTTAGAAAAATAGAATCATTTAGTACTTGTCTTCAAAAAAAGTGAGAGAGAGAGAAAGAGAGACAGGGTCTTGCTATAGTGCCCAGGCTGGAGTGCAATCACTATTAACTGCTGTGATCATGGCATACTAATTTCTAGGTTCAAGCAATCCTCCTGCCTCAGCCTTCCAAGTAGCTGGGATTACAGGCAGGTGCCACCACATCCTTTATTTGTCGTTTTGTTATGGCTTATTTCACTTAGCATAGTATCAAGGTAACCAAATCCCCTTCCTTTTTAAGGCTAAATAATATGTGTCCATATATTTTTAAATCATGTAAAATCTGTGGTGTTTTAAATCAGGAGAGTAGTTACCTCTAGGGAATATGAAGATAGTGTCTAGACACCACATAAAGAAATATGGAATATAAATAACGTTTTATTTCCCAAACTGTGTGGTGATTACAGAAGCACGTTCACCTTGCATTAATCCCTGTTCCATCTTTAGAAAAATCACTTACTTGACTAAATATCATTCTAAATTTATGAACACGTGGCACACTGCTGTAATGCCAGCTACTTGGGAGCCTAAAGTAGGAGGGTCACTTGAGCACAGTGGTTCAAGGCTGCAGTGAACCATGATCATGCCACCGTACTCTAGCCTGGGCAACAGAGTGGCATACTGTCTCTAAAAAATAAATAAATTTATGAACAGCTTCAACAAGCCTGCTCCAGAGCTAGCTATCAGCTAGGATGAGCTCTCCCTAATATGCTATAAAGCAGAACAGAGCCCCTGTCGGCTTAAATCAACTGACATTTATCATTCTGCTAACATTTCCTTTAGGTCTTCAGTCTTTATTTTTCTTTTATTTTCAAGTACTTCTAAATTCACATGTTCTCACGTGACTTTTCCTTTTATGCAAGCATACTAGAAGTCTGTGTAGTCAAATAGGAGAATTGCTCATTTCAAAATATTCTTCTGAGGGGTGACTGTGAAATTTATTCCATTCTTGTACAAAATTACTCCATGATCCAGAAACAAGAAAAGAAAGAAGAAATGAGCTTTTATTACACACTTCCTGGCATAGTGGCCCTGAGCTAGGTGTTTTACACGTTAATGGTTTAAAAAAAAAAAAAAGAAAAGAAAACTTTCATCCACTGTAACACCATTATTACTGCTGTGTACTATGGCTTCAATGAAATGGTGGGGGGCGGGGGGGGAGGGAATGACACAGAAATTTTCCTGAAAAGATTTGAGCTTTCAATCTAAATCAATGCTTATGAGGTCACAAAACATACTGCTTGACATCCCAAATTATACATAGTATTTAACAAGTACTATAGAGAATCAAAATTGAAAAAAATCAACTATTAATCCAAGGATCTGCAGTTTTGAGGAAAATAAATCATTACTATTCCATGCTTTGAAGAAAATACGATGGCTCCTTTTGCTATAGTTTAAATAGAAAAGGTATTGCTTAGGTAAAGATTCACATACATCACTCTTCTGTACTTTTCAGGAAAAAAAACACAAAAGCACTGTCCTATTCAAATGTGTGGTTTCACGGAACTTGAGAAGAGTTCTGCAAAACCCAGCTCAAGCAGAGTGTATTAATTCATTCTCACACTGCTATAAAGATACTACCTGAGACTGAGCAATTATAAACAAATGAGATTTAATTGAATCACAGTTCCCCACGGCTGGGGAGGCCTCAGAAAACTTCCAATCATGGCAGACAGGGAAGCAGGCACCACTTACATGGCTGCAGGTGGGAGAGAAAGTGAAAAGCCCAGGGGAAAGCCATTTATAAAACCATCAGATCTCCTGAGAACTCCTATCATGAGAACAGCATGGGGGAAACTGTCCCCATGATCCAATCACCTCCCTCGCTCCACCAGTGGGAAAGACAATTCAAAATGAGACTTTGGTAGAGACACAGAGCCAAACCATATCATAGACAGAGTAAATTTGTCCTTTCTTTTGCCTTTTTGTTCTTTTGGGGCCCTCAATGGGTTGCACGATACACACCTTATTGGTGAGGGAGAGCTTCAGTCTACCGATTCAAATGTTAATCTCTTCTGAAAATACCCTCACAGATAACTCCAAAAATTGTGTTTAACCAGCTATCTGGACATCTTGTAGCCCATCTTTTAGCCACTTAAAGTAGATGTCCAATCTTCTTCAAGTTATATACTTACACTAAAGCTGACACATAAAAATAGCCATCACGGCCAGATGCGGTGGCTCACGCCTATAATCCCAACACTTTGGAAGGCCAAGGCGGGTGGATCACAAGGTCAGGAGTTCAAGACCAGCCTGGCCAAGATGGTGAAATCCTGTATCTACTAAAAATACAAAAATTAGCTGGGCATGGTGGCGCGTGCCTATAATCCCAGCTACTCGGGAGGCTGAGGCAGGGAACTGCTTGACTCCTGGGAGGCAGAGGTTGCAGTGAGCAAAGATTGGGCCACTGCACTCCGGCCTGGGCAGCAGAACGAGACTACATTTCAAAAAATAAAAATAAAAAATAACCATTGCACGGGCTAATTACAAAATAAGCCAATTGGCTTTGGGTGGTCTTGCAATGAAATGCACAGTTTAGAAGCACTACACCATCTTCTCCCACAGTATCTCCCTCTTTTGAGGACCCAAGATCCAGTATAAAATGGTACCCTTAATTTTAGGGATCTTGTCTTTGCCTTCAGCTGTGCCTGCTTATTAGGCCCTAAAAAAATGTATACTACCTGGCCCTGTTCCTCCAAGGGCTCTACCCTAAAGCCAGTAATGCAATTAAGAAACTGGCAAATGAAAAAACTTAACAAGTGCTCAATCTTCTGTGTTGCTATATATGTGTTGTGTGTAATGTCTATAAAAAGAGCTCTAATTGATTGGCTTAAAGAAAAATAAGTAGTTAAATATTTTTTAGTTCATGTGACTTTAAGAAATAAAAATAGTCTTAAGGATTATTGGTAAAATGCAAACGTTGTCAAAATGCAAACAGGTAGTCTAAGTCACATAACTTAGACACTAGGTTTGCTAAATGTTCCAAGGTTGTATACTGCCTGCTTTACAGATAGGTAAGGCCTGGGACACATGGAGCTACATGCTGAAAAGTCAAACTTGATCTGCACTTCTCTCTGGGTCTAGGATCCACATCTAGTATATAATTAAAATCATTTACTAACCAGGTTTTTCACCAAAAATAAAAGTTGCTAAAAGTTAACACTGAACATTAACTAAACTCAAAAGGCTACTATGTAGTCTTTTCATAAGTTGGGCATTGGAATAAAAGCATAGCAAGCAGGTCTTAAAGACACTCTGCCCTCCAGTAAAGACTCATCTGCCCTCTAGTAAAAGGGTTATATAAGGTTTATAAAGATTTCACCTCACAGTCAAATTGGTTATGACTAGATGCTATTATCTACAAAGTTTCGTTTAAATAAGTTGGGGTTAATGTTAATAAATTAAAGCAAGGGTAAACTTTGGCTTTGAACAGGATTTCCATGTCATAGTAAAGCCAGTGAAAGGTTTTGCCTTTTGAGTCATCATTTTGGCAAAAGAAATAATTTATGACAATCTGGAATTCTATTTTATAATATCAAATATTCTAAACCTCTAACATTTAACAGGCACCCCAATTTTAACTTCGAGTTTCAAAACTGTCCTTCTTGATGCCTGGCTTTTTGGATGGTTCAGAGTTCTCCAGAAAAGAGGTAAACAAGATTATTTGACGAGTTTAGTCATGAGATTGCCAAAATGATGTCCAACCTTCTTTAAGTTATATTTTGGTGAGTAACAGTAACATATGCTTCAAAATTGTATGGGATTTCTAAAATTCTAATGTCTAAGTATATGCTATCAATCATATTAAGGGTAAAGTTATTGTAAACCATGGAGATAAATAAACTTGTCAGTCATGTTTTTATCTGTAACTATCTTGGAAATTTTGTCATTCACAGACAATTGTCTTGCTTTATTCCTTCTCAAAAGACAGTTTATAATCAAGCCATATTAGGAACTTAAACAGGTGTTCTCAAATGCAAGTTTTTTTTAATAGCTTTGAAGACTGTAACATTGGAACAGAGAAGGAATGTATGAGACTCATAAAGAACTGACCTGTTCACAAATATTAAGCAAAACAAGAGTTAAATGGACTGCAATCAGAAAGTTAAAGCAACCTTTTTGACTTCTGCTTGAAATTTTTCTGACCCTTATTTTGTTTTTCAGAGTTAAGGAAACTTATTTTGAACTATTTATGGCCTTTAACAATTGAAGAAGGTATACTCCTGTGAACAAAATTTGGAGCACGTTTATTTTTCTCTACCTGGTTCCTCTAGAATTTGGAAACTATCTGTGGGTACTCTTAAGTTATGGCAATATAGTTGCTTGCATCACTGCAATAAGAATCCATTTTTCTTTGTCAATAGGACACAATTGGAAAAACGGGTTATTTCACCAAGGCTTTGACTGAAACAGTATGTTTCCCTTTAAGGAACCAAGCTTGAACTGCAGAGCCAATAAAAAGCCCCTTGGGGAGAGCTGGCCTCATACCTTGTCTACACAATCTCTCCACAGGGTTCCTAACTTGTAGTCAGTAAAGAATGTCACTTTCTAACAGGTCTAGGAGCTCCAAGTTTATCTTGGGACCTCAAGGGGAGAGGATCACCCAACTCACCGGTATTTGAGGATACAAATCCATGGCTGGTGTCAGCTTTAAAAGTCTTATCTGAGATTCCTTGTGGAACAGAGTTCCATCAAAGCCAATCCAAAAGGCCTACATAGAAATAACCATTCTTGCTGCACCTTATGCAAATAATCAGGCCTAGTGTAAGACTAAAGTTTATTCTACAAACAACACACACAGTCCTATCATAATTTCTTTTTACCAAAAATTAAGACTGGAAAGAGAAATTGTGCTCCAAAGCTTATCATATATTTGTCATTAAATCCTAGTCTCATTAACTGTTTTTAAGCTTTTTGCCTACATTTTAGACTAACTCTGCTTAGTCCTGTGAATCAAGTGGTAATCTCCTACAGCTTGGAAGAAACAAAAGCGGATGGGTAACATAAGAATCTGGATCGATATACTAGCTCTGGGCAATTATTCTGCAAATTCTGCCAGGTAATAAAAGTGAGTGGGGTTCCCGTAACCCTGAGGTTCCTTTGTTTGGGAAATAAAACCAAGGAACTTCATAAACCCCAAAGGGAAATTCTTTATCTTGGCAAGCAAAATTTTAGTTCCCAGCACACTTATGGGAACTGCCATCCTCACTCTACTATTTGCAATAGGGTTATACGTGGTAACACCTTCTAACTGAAATATTCAACAGACAGCTTATGTCTTGTATTAATATTTGGACCCTATATACTCAATACTATAACTCAAATTGTTTCCTCTCACCTAGAAGCAATCTAGCTCCAAATGGTGCTGCAAACTGAACCAAGCATGTACACACCATTCTTCCAAGGACCCTTAGATTGACCCCAGGAGAAGCCCTAGCTGTTGTTCCCCATTTGATGCCCCTTTTCAGCAGGAAGTAGCCAGAAAGAGTCAGCATCCAAAACCCCTAACAGCAGTTAGGGGGACATCTCCACATGGGGGAATGTTATAGGAGTTATTAAGAAATTATTTTAGGCAGATAGAGAGGAAAAGAGGTCCTTGGGAAATTTTTATTTCTTTTAAAGCAGCTCTAGAAATGTTTCTTGTTTAGCAAGAAAGCCCCAGCTCTTAGAGCCAGGCCAGCAACCTTTGATATGAAAATCCAGGCCATTAGAAATGGGTCCACCCAAACACGGTGATTCCTGTCCCCTTCTTCTTGCCTTTGCCTCACATGCATCTGGCAACATGGCACATATTCCTGGTGTAGAGCACCATGGCACCCTAAATTTGCATATTAAAAGGTTAGGGTGGGACGGCCAGTACCCATCTCCCCAGGGCTACGTGAGTGACATGTCTGGTCAAACCAATCTCCTGAGCCCTATGCAAATCAGGTACCACCTCCTCCAGCCTCCTCATATAAGCAGCCATTTTTCTGCCACACATGGGGTATTCTCTATGTTCGAATCCCCCCTCCCTTTACCTCTGTACAGGGGAGCAGAGCTATTTTCTTCTTCCTTCTTTCTTGCCTATTAAACTATACGCTCCTTAAAACAAAACAAAACAAAATTTTTTTTAATCATCATATCAAATAACTTTACCCTACCCAGGACTTGACCACAACTCTGTTCTTGGCTTAAAATTCAAAATATTGGTTCACTTCCTGATGGAAACAGAGGACAGAGAGAGAGGTGCTCATGACTCACTATGGACAGAGTGAGGGCTGAAATTACAGTAAGGTAGGAAAGGAAAGTGGGGCCCTGGCTGAGGTTAAGTACCAAATAGAAATCTGAGCTGAAGCTGGGAGACATAGCTTGAGTTTCTAGATAAAAAAGAATGTGTAACCTAGAGTAATGCAAACATAAAGGATTCCACTCTTATTCCCAAACTATTGTAACAGCTCTGAATAACATGGATACTTTAAAGGCTTATGTATGTATAAATGGAAGTGTATAAAACATTCAGGCCAGGTGCAGTGGTTCACACCTGTAATCCCACCAGCACTTTGGGAGGCTGAGGCGGGCGGATCATTTGAGTTCAGAAGTTTAAGACCAGCCTAGCCAACATGGTGAAACACAGTCTCTACTAAAAATACAAAAAAAAAAAAGAAAAAAAAAAAAGGCGGGGGGTGGTGGCGGGTGCCTGTAGTCCCAGCTACTTGGGAAGCTGAGGCTGAGGCAGGAGAATCACTTGATCCTGGGAGGCAGAGGCGACAGTGAGCCGAGATCGTGCCACTGCACTCTAGCCTGAGCAACAGAGTGAGACTCTGTCTAAAAGAAAAATTCATCATAAATAAACTCAGTCCCCAAAAGTAATTAATCTATTTATTCATTCAGCAAATACCCACTAAACACCTACTATATCTAGATGGGACAGACTGGCAAAGAAGGACTTGACCTGAAGAAGTTTTTAGCCTAGTCAGGTAGATGACACATGCATATAAAAATATTAACTATAGACATGGCAGGTAAAGCTAAATGCACTAAAAGAGACACAGGGCTATGTGAAGAAAACAATGTAATGCCCACAACATATTTGTTGTCACTCAACAAATATTCATCAAAATAATAAATGTAAATGTCTCATGTCTTCAAAATCATCAAACTTATAAATGGCTTTGTTTAGCCATTGCATCCAGGCACAGTGATGAAAAGACAAACACAGGATTTATTCTGAAGGTCCCACACAATCTACTGTACTAGCTCACACAGCTTGTTACACAGCTTCTCTAATTCTCCGTCACTTAGTTGGCATTTCACAAAGACATTGCAGAAACACAGGAGAAGGCTAAGAATCCACTCCATTCTTCATTTAGTCTCTCTGGGCCCATTGTTACCCACTACTGTTTTGAAGATAATGGTGATAAAACCATAAAAGCAATTTGTAACTTGTGAAAGGCAAGATAGTTCTTATACTTTGAGTATCCTGAGGGTATAATCAGGTCTTATTAATCTTTGTAGCCCCAGTGACTACCAAAGATACTATTTTTATTATGTAATTAAAAAGGGGTTGAAGCTCTATGCACATAAGCTAGAAAACCTAGAAGAAATGGATAAATTTCTGGAAACATACAGCCTCCAAAGATTGAACCAGGTAGAAATTAGAATCTTAAACAAGCCAATAAGGAGTTCCAAAATTGAATCAGTAGTGGAAAACCTACCAATCAGAAAAAGCCCCAGCCCAGACAGATTCACAGCCAAATTTTACCAGGCATACAAAGAAGAGCTAGTATGGAACAATACTACCAAAATTGTTCAGGAAAAAAAAAGAGGAGGGACTCCTCCCTAATTCATTCTTTGAGTCCAGCATCATTCTGATACCAAAATCTGGCAGAGACACAATAAGAAAACTGTAGGCAAATATCCCTGATGAACACAGATGCAAAAATCCTCAACAAAATACTAGCAAATACAATCCAGAGGAGCATATCAAAAGCTAATTCATCACCACTAATTGGCTTTATTCCTGGGATGCAAGGTTGTTTCAACATATGCAAATCAATAAATGTGATTTATCAAATAAACAGAACTAAAAACAAAAACCACATGATCATCTCAAAGCTCAAAGGCTTTCAATAAAATTCAACATTCCTTCATGTTAAAAACCATCAACAGGCCAGGCACAGTGACTCATGCCTGTAATCCCAGCACTTTGGGAGGCTGAGGCGGGCGGATCACAAGGTCAAGAGATCGAGACCATCCTGTCCATCATGGTGAAACCCTGTTTCTACTAAAAATACAAAAATTAGCTGGGCATGGTGGCACACACCTGTAGTCCCAGCTACTCGGGACTCAGGAGGCTGAGGTGGGAGAATCGCTTGAACCCAGGAGGCAGAAGTTGCAGTGAGCCGAGATCATACCACTGCACTCCAGCCTGGTGACAGGGCAAGACTCTTGTCTTTAAAAAAAAAAAAAAACAAAACCTCAACAAACTAGGCACTGAAGAAACCTCCAAATAATAAGAGCCATCTACGACAAACCCACAGCCAATATCATACTGAATGGGTAAAACCTGGAAGCTTCCCCTCTCAGAATCAGAACAAGATAAGGATACCTACCTCTTACCACTCTTATTCAACAAAGTACTGGAAGTCTTATAGCCAGAGAAATCAGGCAA